TCAGTAGAATACGCAAGTGTATAGCTGTGAAATACCAATAAATTGCTGCACACATTTTATAATTTTCGTCCAGTGTAGTCCTGTGCGAGTATGAGTGCATTTATAAAAGCAGTTATATTTATGAACTAGAAAGAGAAAACGATGTTCCAAAAAAGGGAGCAGAACCAAAAAAAATAGTGTCCATTTTGCAATTTGCCGCCGGCGCGATGAACGCCAGGCAAAATGGTTAAAAGACCAAGGGGTGGAGCTGCAGAGGGGCGCGGGGGAAGTGGCTTGCAAGTGGGCGGCAAGAGGCTTGAAATGGGCAGGGCGTGGCAGTGGATAAGTGGGGACACATGCATGGAATAGCACCCAAACAAAATAAAGCAGCACAAGTCGGTCCTCGGCGGAAATTCATTTCGTTGAGAATTTTCCTGCAAGGAAATTATGATGTCCATAATTGGAAGCACTGGCTTTTGCCCCATAAAAACTAACACAAGTTCTAAAAGCATTAAAACACTACAAAGCAGATAGATGGATTTTGGTTCAACTAATTCCCAAAATCGCTTACTTAATAAGCTTTCGAAAATCACAGAAATATTTTAGCTCTACAACTTATGGTATTCGATACTCTTGAACTGCAATTATTGTGGGATATTTTCATAAAATATCCCATATGCTTTTCGATACTCTTCAACTGCAATTATTGTGGGATATTTTCATAAAATGCCCTATATGCCTTTCGATACTCCTCAACTGCAATTATGGTGGGATATTTTATTAAAGGATCCTATATGTTTTGATAAAATCAGAAAGCTGCAGAAAGTGCAGCTGCTCCGTGGTAATTTGTATGACCTGCACCCACTAAATTGGCATTTTGGCGACGTCAAGTGATTTGCTGGCGAAATTACGTATGCAGAAAATGACCAACATGTTGCTCCCAGGACTCTGCCATAAAAAATTGGCACAGAATAAGGCAGAAGTGGGGCGAGGGCACGATGCCATGTAGAAATTGCAGCATGCATACTAAGCTGCACTTCTAAGATGCACTAAAGAAGACCTCCGATTGTCTGTGGCCTTAAATAAGCACAGCATGTATAGTATTTTTTAAATACTTGCAAATTACAAAACCGAAATAGTGTTCAAATCAAGGCAAGTGGGCATTGGGGACCAGCACTTTTTTCGAGTGTCCTGCCCGGGCTGCAGTGACCTCTCTCAGCAGGAACTCCTTGCATACGAGTTTGCATGCCAGTGCGTCCTGGCTGGACAAACTCGATATGCATCGTGGAGCCCGGCGTCTCGGTGAATTATTTAAATAAATGGTGAATGGTGGATGGTGGCTGCTGGCTGCTGGCTGCTGGGACAAAGATCAAGCGCCAGTTTTTATCATCGCCCTCTAACTCATGTGCACTGTGCAGGTTTTCTTCCGCAGGACCTTTTCCGTTTGCTAGTGGTGCTTTAGCTCAACGATGGCAATTTGTAAGGCAGGAATGCAGCGAGCATGTGCGACACACGAAAATAAATGTACCTATACAAAATACCTAGACTTTGGAAACAAACGGCAAATTAAATGAATGTACAAACTGCTAAGATGTGCTTTGAAAACCAGAGTTCCCTGAAATTGGTGCTTAGCGGCCTTATTTTAAAGATTAAAACAAATAACTATTCGAAGGTGTTATTTAGGTAAAAGCCCAAGTGTATAGTATATGGCTACAAATGCGCCATTTATACAGCTTTTATACCCATTTTTCCCCATGCAAAATAGCGACTAAATTTCTACATAACTCACCATTGAAAAATAGCTTGAGAGTGCACCCACATCCAGTCGGTGTCCAGAAATGAAGATGTCGGACGTTGTCCTTCAAAGGGGGCGGCTAAAAAGTCCTGGCCAAGAGGAGCTGGCCCGGGCACTTATCGCATACAATGCGCATTAGCAGTGTCTACATGAGTCCCCATCAAGTTATTCCCGTCCTGTTTCCAGAACGGCTGTTGCATATTCCAAAGGACGGGGCAAGGTCCGCTGTTTGTCATCTCGTTTTGAGCGCTTGAATCCGTTTAGCCTTTTTCTGAGCTGAAAAGTGCGGGCTTTACAAACTGCAGTCGCCTGAGGACAGCAAAATGGTTGAATGCGCTTAAGTTTATTACCTTGTTACTTTTACAGAAGGAACTTAATTTCTTTTTGAATAGATGATCTCCAAATGTAAACTTCACTTGTTGAAACTCAGAAAACTAAAAGGCAGCCCACTATATTAAAAAAAAAAGAGAACCAAATTAATTTCTCCTGTACAAATGTGGTGTTGAAACGTTAGAAGCAGTGTTCCTAATTTTAATACAGATTTCTTCCATTTTCAACAGTTTTACGCACATCGATAATATTTTAACGAAAATTACCCAACTACATTTTGAATTTCAACTCACCTCACTGGTTTTGTAGGCAGCGGCCCTGTGGTGAATAGCTCGGCGAGCAGCGTGCACCCGCTAGCTATCGATACGAGGCAGGCATCTTACCGATAAGTATTGACGTCTTTGGTCCATCCCTAAGGCCGATGGACTGCAGTTTTTCGTTTATTTTGGCACACAAAAATGGCTAGCACTGTCCGTAAATCCCTGTAGAACCGCACTCCAGTCGCAATTCAGTGTCCAAATGTCCTTGCAGGCCGGATCGAGTGGATCGGAAGGTGCTGGCGCTAACGGTGCCGGCAGCGGCGGCGGCGGCGGCGCTGGAAACTCCGAGGAGGCGCGTCGCATTTGGGTCGGGAATCTGGACTCGCGCATCACCGAGTAAGTTGTGGCTGGCATAACGCAGCGCGATTCCAAGGTGCTAATAGTTCCCTTTGCATTGCCCCCTATCGGTTCCAACTCCTCAAACTGATGCAAAAATGCGGCGCCATCGAGAAGTTCGACATGCTGTTCCACAAGGGCGGTCCCATGGTGGGCCAATCCAGGGGCTACGCCTTCGTCACCTTCGCGCAGGTGGGTGCGGTGCACCATTGGTGCTGACGGTGCAGCGGCTGCGTTGTAGTGGCCCGTGCTTCCAGGTTCTCCATCCAGCCCGGTTTTGTGCTGGGTTTTGTCTGCAGTTCAACACCATAACTCCCGGCTACACTCGCCAAGAAGCCACCTAGGCTACTCCTTTATCTGTCAGCCACACAGCAAGGGCTACTAGATTTGCAGAGCAGCACGTAAAAGCAGAAGAGCGCCCATCCGCACTCATGAAGTGCATAACAACTAGCAATTATGTGCTATAGATTTTTAATGTGCCATGGTCTTGGGCAATTAGCTCAACATCTTTGACAAGTTGTTTATTAACGAAATGTTAAATGATTTCTTCGAGGGAGAAGACTGCAGTGCGGAAAGTGAACCAATTTAAAGCACGGGCGCACAATATTTGGCTGTGCTGCAGCGTCTTGACTGATATTTGTTGCCACTCACTAACCCCAATTCGTTACAGAACGATGGAGCCACCAATGCGCTGCTGAAGCTGGACGGAACCAGCGTGGGAAACCGCTCGATAGCCGTGCGTTTGGCCAAGAACATTAAATATGTAAGCAAAACCGCGGCCTTCGAGTCGCCAAGCGTTAGTTGGTCCCCTAACCTAAAACCAATTCTGTGCACGATAGGACGACCTGCAGAAGCCCAAGCCGCGCCTGGAGATACCAGCCTTGGGAACAGGCAAACGCGAGGAGAAGATCAGCAAAACGGAGGCCATTCGCGCCATCGAGGCCAAGCTGAAAGTGCTGGAGCGGCAGACTGACGACAATCTCGAACTGAACAACGCGGGCAGGGGCGAGGCCAACGTGCCTTTCATCCAGCGCTACCAGTACAACAAGGACCGGGACGGATCGCAGCGCTACGGCAAAACCTCGGCTCCATATCATCGACAGCAGCGTCCCAAGCGACGCTAGGCTCTCAGGACACTCGCCTTTGCCACCGTCTCACCCAGTAGTCTGTAAAAATCATTAGTACTTAGGGCGCTACCTCAGCAGACGAGCCTTGCAGCTGTAATTTACAATTAATTTATTAAAAAAGGAACAATCAGAACGGACGTCTACTTGGGTGCGAACTTGATCTTGCCGCGCATGTGGTCGGGCAGCGGCACGGTTCCGGGACAGGACACCTGGCCGGGGATCTCGCAGATGCAGTGCCTGCCGCATCCGTAGCCAAAGTTGGCCGGGTTGTCCTTGCTCTCCTTCAAGCGCTCCTCCGCGTCCAGTTGCTCCCTGAAATATGAAAAAGGATATGTAAGCGATGCTGAATAGCCATTAGAATAAGTGGAGCCTTAAATACTGCGCTAGCTTCTTTCCAGCTCGCTATTCACACTTAAGATGAAATTCCTAGAATGAGTATGTACTGATAGAGATACTTTAAGAGTATGTACTGGTCATTCTAGGCAATATTCTTTGGAACTCTGTAAGTATCTTTGCGTTGCAACGCAGTGAACTTTATGATGGCTAAGCTTGCGAGGAAAGTAGGGATAGACTGTGGCTGCTCACCGGGTCTTGCCCACCACCTTGACCAGGTGCTCGATGATGTCGTCCCGATTCCGGCCATCCACGTCTATGAGCATATCGCGCCCATCCTCGAAATAGCAACGCACAAACGGCGAGGGCGTCATGTTCTTCATGGTGAGCACCTGCACCTCGGGGTTCTTGAACTGGATTTGCGGTATGTTCCAAAACACAAAGTCCCTGTGCGTGCGGCATTTATTAGCAGTTTGTTAGTTAGGTTGCCAGTCAAATGTATGCCATAACTCACCGAGCTCCCGCGTGATGATCTCCATATGTGTTGTAGTTGACGCTGAAGATGCGCACCTTGTCCTTGAGCACCAGCTTGCCGGCATTCAGGTACTTGAGGGTGCGGCGGATGGGCTCGCGGCCCTTCATGAACGGCATTCTGCAGTTTTAATTCAAATTCGCTGGGTAAAACAAAAGAAATCTATAAAAAGCGGCTGCTTGTGTAATGCGAACAGCTGATCGGTTGGCTAGTGGCGCACCACGGCGCAAGGTTCTATCGAACTATCGATAGAACCGCGGCGTCGATAGCGGCTACCAAATGTCTCCACTCCAACATAACTTGAAAACACGCGATTTGTGTAATTACAAATTTGTTTGTTGAGTGTGGTTTGCTTGTACTGCCAATGGTGATGCATGGGTGACATGTAATGAGATGAAATGTGCAGTGCTTGTATTTCGCTGCAGTGGAGTACGCCTATCGAATTTCGATATTCGATGTTCGATAGACCCATCGAGCCGAACCGGCTGCCTAATTTGTTTACCTATTAAACTTAAACTTGAATATGGAAATAACGCTAGCGCTGATAAAGCCGCACGTGCTGCGCAATACCTATGCGATGCAGCAGATCCGAGCCCTGATCTCCCAGCACTTCACCATTCTCGACCAGAAGGAGGTTTGCATTACGAAAGAACTATCTGAGCGATTCTACGCGGAGCACAAGGGGAAATTCTTCTACCACCGGCTAACCAGTTTCATGAACAGGTTGGTTGTGCTCCGGCAGCATTAAGATGGCATAACAAGCTGGTTATCCCTTTCAGCGGACCCTGCTACGCGCTGATTCTCCAGTCGGAAGCCTGCATCCAGAAGTGGCGTGGTCTGCTGGGTCCCACCAAGGTGTTCCGTGCGGTCTACAGCGATCCCGACTGCATCCGAGCCTTGTACGGGCTGTCCGACACCCGTAATGCCTGCCATGGATCCGACAGCGAGGCATCCGCGCTCCGCGAGATCAGCATCCTGTTTCCGGAGTTCGACGCGGCTGCTGGAAGCCGCCAGGCGAAGAGGGAGACGTAGTCCTGGATTACTGCATCCTTAGATTAGTTAGAATGGGTACTACCGAGGCGGTTGATGTTTCTTATATTTATTGCTTTGCATTTCTAGATTAGCACGTAGACTAGCACTTATGTTGCATGCGCCGTTTTAAAAGCAATTCAAATTATATAATAGTTTCTGTGACTAGCGTACTAGTATATTTATATATTTGCTTGTAGCAACAGGGCAACAAATAAAAAAGTATTTTAAAACTACACTTTCTTGCTGAATAATTATAAGAACTAGAAGACTAAGCCAAATTTACCGGCATTTTTCAAGTTTAATGATTACTCAAAGTACTGATGACCATAGATCATAGTATAGAAACCAAGTATTTGCAACTAGTGAGTTGCGGGAACGCAACTTCAGAGAGGCGTGTGTTTCAAAAACTTTATTTCGTCAATTTCCGGTTTACATAATACAATTCTTTGTTTATTAGGTGGTAGGTACATGTATAGATAGAGATTTTCGATCTGCTCTGGTTTCCGTTTAGCTCATTGTAAATAGTTGGTAATAAAATTATAAAATTTATAAACTTAACAAATTATATAAATATATATTTATGTGTGGGTAAGTTCTGTAGGTTGCCTATAAATAGGTAAAGATATAAATGTTTTGTATATCGATTCAGACAATTGAGAAGCATAGCGAGAAATTCAAAAGCGGGAAATATATCATTAAAAAAGATCTAAATTCTTGTATTTTGTTTGCGAGCGAGACGGCATCTGCATCTGCTGTCTTTTTCTAACTCGTGTGCGACGAGTTCTTCACGAATAACAGAAAACTAATTTAAAACAAAACAAAAAAAAATGGCATTTTAATAATAAGTAAAGTATAACCGTCTCTCTAACTCTAGTTCTAGTTTTGGTTGCAACGATTTGTCAAAGCAGACACAAGTCGCAAAAAAATTGATTTAACAAGTATCCATAGTAGTATTTACGTTTGCTTTTCCTTCGTTCATTTTTCAATGGCTTTTTCTATTTTTTTGTTTGGATTTTCTCAGTGTTTGTTTTATTTACCTTACTTTGGTATCAATTACAAATCTTTAATGCCTATTTGCAGTCCTACGAATTTCACACGCGATCCCCGACCGCCAGGTGGCGCTCTAGTCGCACAAAGTTAGAAACATTCAGTTGGGATGTTTGTATTTAGCATTAAGCATTTTCTTGCGTTACCATGTGGTTTTGCCTTATTATCATAACTATGATCATCGTCCATCGCACACATGTATATAAATATTGCTATTTCGGCCGATCTTTAGGTCGGCCAACTCGTATATAATGTGGGTAAATAGCGCCAGCGGAAAATCCAAATGGAACAAACAAGGATAACCCGAAGCTCTGCGGCGATTGTTGACTTTGGTGGGCACTGTACGGATTGGTGGTGTCATCGATTCCTGGCGGCACTGCACTCAAACCTCAAGATCCAATCATGCCACATAGTATACTCGTACAAGTATGTATGTATTACTTATGGGGCCTGCACTTCGAACCGCTTGGCAATAATATCTTCGACTATTTAGGTGTGTGTGTGTGTGTTTTTTAGTTGTTTCTGTCATTTGTCTTGATCTTTAATTAATAGAACACAAAAATATATGTATATATAGATTTGCTTTGTTTGTATAAACGTACGTACGTATCAACTATGCAACTTGGCCTATACGCGCTACATAAAGATACACATTCATGTATCCACACTAAATATCTGTATATTCACATATAATCTTTGAATATAACCAGCTTATAGCATAAAAAGACTATTTCAAATAGTTTTTTCCTCTAGCACTACTTTGTCAACGACAACGTCAGTATATCAATAATAGGTTGCTCCTAACACTCAACCCCTTTTGCATCCTGTCCATGCTGCACTCCTAATATATCCTCGTTTGTATAGTAATTAAGTGAATGTATTTGCTTCTCGCTGTCCGAGCTGGTTGGCCTCCCTTTGAAATCTTGAGCACGTTCCGGGCTCCTAGCTCCTTCACTCGAACATGGCCATCGATGAGGTGGGCACCACCTCCAGCAGCAGCTGGAAGAACAGCGTCACCTTGTCTGCAGGGGAGGAATTCAGCGTTAATAATCGAGGTTTATAGAGGGCAGTTGGGGAAACTTTGGGTCACTTACTCATGAACCTCGGCGTCATTCCGAGCTTGACGAACGGCACATAGAAGATCAGGCCCGCGAATATGAAGAGCAGGGCATAGAGATACTCAACGCGCGGGGTCTCGAAAATTGGTGCCGCCACGAGATACACGGAGATGACCAAGACCACAACGGGAATGATGATCGGCACCTTGTAGGGCCGAGGATAGTTGGGTTTGGTGTAGCGCATCACGATCAGGGCCAGCATCGCTCCGCCGTAGAATATCCAGGCGGTGAAGCTGAAGAAATCAATCAGCGAATCAATTGTGCCATGGAGCACCATTGCCGAGGCAATCAGCGACTGGAGACGGGGATAAGTACGCACAGAGAAAGATACAGAGAAAGAGGGGAGTTTAGAACGAGGATCGGATCGATACGTGGATACGTGGGCATTCGCAGGCGTTGTCAAATAAAAATGAGGCGGTACTATCGGATTACAAAACGGATTAGAGGTAGTTATACATAGGCGGGAATACTATGGGGTGAATATGGGTTTGCTGAAGCAATCTGGGGTAAGTTATGTAAGTGTGGGGGCTACTTTGAGATACTTACGTGGAATATCAGCCCCGGAGCCGGCGTAAGACGACGCACATGGACATAGGAGAGGATATCCAGCAGGTGGCCCTCTCGACTGGCCGCAAAGCACAGGCTGCAATGGGAGCAGGACAAATGGTAGATTAAAAAGCTGGCCGAGATTCCCCTAAGCAATAGTTGTGCATCCGTATAAGAGATGTATGAGGGCTTACAGCTCCCACTCCCTGACATTTCAGTAGTGATCCTTACCGCCCAGCTGCGAAGAGCGTTCCATTGGCGCTGCCAAAGGTGCTGATGGTGACGCTCAGCGGCATCAGCCAGGCGAGGGCGCCCAGGATGCGGTTGCCAAAGGTGACGGCCACCGCCTCCGACTCGATCATCTCCTGCGGCGACATGGCCGCCAGGTAGGAGATGTTGATCAGCGCATAGCAGAGCGTGACCAGCGGTATGCCGATGATGATCGAGCGCGGCAGATTCTTGCTGGGATTCTTGATCTCCTCGGTTACGTAGTTCAGGTTGTTCCAGCCATCGTAGGCCCACAGTCCCGTGTAGAAGGCCGTGGCGATGGCGCCCACATTGGGCATCGGGCCATTAAATGCATTCGACAGGTGCTGCGTGTTGCCCTGCATCAGTTTCCAGGCTCCGCCGCAGATCACGACCACCACGGCCACCAGTTTGGCGGCGGTGAACACGTTCTGCACGGCCATTCCCAGGTTGACGCTGTAGCAGTTCACGAACAGGATCATCACTGTACAGTGGAGGGCAACTCATTAGTAGAATTCATAAGCATACAAGAGGTTTGTTGGTAATGGGGATCAATACCAGAGCGAAGGCGTTACCAATTCAAGTGACTAGCCTGGCAGGCTTGGTACCAATCCCATTACGCGACTATAATCCTTACCAATTGCCACCAGGGCGACCATCTTGACCACGCCCCTGGGCGGATCGCATTCCGTCACAAAGGCCTCAACGGCGTACTGTGCAAATGATAAGCATATTATAGCCATTTGAGATGGCTTCAACACCAAAGTCGATACCCATGAGAACAGAAACGCCGGCGCCGGTCCATAGGCATCCATGAAGTAGGCCCATTCCGCCCCCGACGACGTGTTCATCGTGCCCAGTTCAGCGTATGCCAGAGCGCCTGGAAGTGGGCAAAACAAGGGATTAGTTACATAGACATAGGAGTAATATGCATAGGTAATATAAAAATGAAAACTTTGGGACTGAGCTTTATATTCTGACCACAGTCAGTTAGAAGTAGCAGTTATAAACCTAGATCCGTGTGTCTTCTTTTGATGCAGTTGGCTGGCCACCCTTTCTCCCAGTGTATGCTGCACAAGATGGCAAGGTGCGACATTCCGCGAGAGTTTGGCTCCTCGCCAGTCAAGTGCAACAAGTTGTGGCGAGAGTGCAGGGTCGAGTCTTGGGACTTGGCCACTTGGCCACTTGGCGTCGTTAAGTGGGTCAGGCGCACGTGGCGCACATGCCAGGGGATGATGCTAGCGACTTACCCAGCAGAGAGAGCACACCACAGGCAAGCCAGATTATAAAGCTAACTCCAACGGAACCAGTGCGAACCAGTAAACCGGAGGGTGACACAAAAATTCCAGACCCTGTCGGTTGACAAAGAGAAAGAGAGCATATTAGATATAGGTTTGGATATAGATTTGGATATATGTAGCTGGTATGTACAAGCCAAGCGTTTCCACAGCTGCAGCGCGGAAGAACAGCTGATTAAGGGCCCACATTGTTTCCCACTTGCCCCGCCAATTCGATTTCCCGCATGCTAATGAGCACGAGTGGGAGTATATACCATTTGAGTGGGTGTTACGGACGTCATCAGTGGGCGGACAAAAGTTCCGCGAAAGCTCCGACCACGCGGAGAGTGAGCAATACCGGCAAATAGTGGGTTTTCCTGCGGAGAAACTCAGACAACTCGTGGAGTTGGGTGGGTTGGGTTATGCGAGCCAGAGGCGTGCAACAATTTCGGTAACGTGCCACAAGCTGGCGCCATTGCCTAAGGTCAAAGTGCAGCAGCGACACTAGACGCCTTTCGTGCCATAAATATGTATTTCAATACAGCCCCGTTTCTGCGCCAGACACAGCTGCGTCCACATTCGTAGTGACAACTGGGCAGAAAGGACAATTGCCAACTCAACAAATTCGTATAAAATGTTTAGCATGTTTGGTGTTGAATACACTCCTTAAATACAATTTGCGTTGGCTTTCTTTTTTGTTTATAGTTTTATCACGATTACCGCGATTGGCCACCGCTGTGCGGCCTTTCGCCCCCTGAAAATATGCCTGGAAATCGGCATCCGTCAGATGGCACTTTCGTTCTCACGCCGCTTGCATGCCATGATATACTATGTATCTGTACGACAGACAATACATATAAGGTGGGCCCAAAGCTGTGTATAAGTAGCATGTGCCGTGCATATAGCTAAATCCATGCGTACGTATTTTTGGCCATGCGCGCCTCCTCCAATCAGCGCCAAAAAAAAAGCAAGGAAAATGCCGAATGAAAATTGTGCCTCAA